TTTATCAAACCAATCAATAAATATATTTCATTTTGGAATAACTGGATGGGAGACTAATCAAAAAGTTAATGAGTATTATGTTCCTTTTGGCATTTAGAAAACATTAAGCCATGTTTTAAATCATCTGTGGAAAAAAAATGAAATAGTCATATCACAGGTTTGTTTTTTTTTTTTAATACTGTTGAAAAAGTTCCCGACTCTACACAAACACCAATTATAACATGATGTAGACAACTGAGAAACAAGCAAATGTATCCTTAAAATGCTAAAATAAAGTACATTTATACAAGTACAAAGCAAAACAGAGCTGATAAAAATGTTAAATTTTATGAAAAAACTCATTTGCAATTCACATCAAAAGAACTGTACATTCGCTATTGTCTTAATAGTATATAAGCAGCAACAACATAAAAAGAACATACGGCCACACAATGTTTAAAACCAAATCCATTATAAGTTATTAGCCCCAAAATAATAATATTAATTACAAGCACTTATAGCCCACACAAATCTTTGAGAATTGGCACCATCTGTCTAAAACATCTATATTCTCTATAGATTTCTAATTACAAACACGCTATCAGCTGCCATGGAATCCAAGAAGTACGTAGAATATACATAGTATATTTGTTCACATTTGCCAGATCAGTGAAATTCAGCCACTTGGCCTTGTGTCTTCTGTCTCCTTCTCCCCCTGAAAAGAGAAATCACTTCCAGGCACTATGTCATCACCAAAGCGAATACTGATTCATCTTAATGCTTTCACTGATCTGGATTTTTTTTTTTCACAGTATAAAATTATAAATGGCAACCACAGAGATTTTGACAGCTTGAGTGTTATTAAGAATTTGCTGCTCATAGTGAACTCTGATGACACCATTTCAGCCTCCAGTGTATGTAGGCTATGTTGGGAGACTAGCACAGAAGATTCTTTTGTTCTGGAAAAAGTGTGTTTTTTGTTTTGAAGTTGTAAAACTGTCACACAATCATTATCTGACTCATTTGTGGACATAAATTACCTTTCTATTTTTCTCAAAATGAGGAAAACTGTTAGTAAGAGTAGTAGCTTGGGGAAAAATAGAATGATCAAGTAGTCTAACAAATTTTTGCTTGTTCTTGTTTCAGGGAATTTTTTTTATTTCTTTTGAAGGCAATCAGGGTTAAGTGACGCAACCAGAGGCACACAGCTGGGAAGGGTCTGAGGTCAGATTTAAACTCAGATCCACCTGACTCCAAGGCCGGTGGCTCTATCCACTGCTCCACCTAATTGCCCCATTTCAAGGAAATCTTACCAGGCTTTTCTTATCTATCTTTACCTTATTTGAGATCGACCACATTTTAGACACTGATCTCACAATGAGCTCCTTTCCTGGAATATAACTCCTCCTTCTGACTAACCATTTGATCACATTTCTTCATCATGGGACCAAGCTCTTTTATTGAATGACTTTTCTTAGCTAATAATGACAATATAGTTCTTGAACTCTTCACAACATCCTCTTCCTTAAAGTACTACTGGTCCCAACTAGAATATTATTACACAATTGGGACACTGCTCTTATCTGGGAAACTCAAGTGATTCTAATAAGGTCAAGTAACCAACTACTCTCATCTACAAGTGTAACTCAGACCTCAGTCCTAGTAAAAATTTTGAGTCCATTGTGTATTTTATACTTATTCCCTGGTAGCCAGCATCTAACCTTGCAGAGTTTGTATCACATAAGGAATATTTTACTAATTTATCATGTGAAGAATCATAGTTATCCTATTAGATACATAAGTTGTCAAAATAGATATCCAGATTCAGAGAGCAAGCCATCCTGCTTTGCTCTCACTGGAAAATGTATCTTCAGCTTTATAGTTAACTGGAAATGGGATTTATTATGGAAGTTTTATGTGGGAATTTATTTGCATTAAAGGTTTTATATGCATATTTTTTTCTTGTGTTCCTCATCGCATTGAGCACTGGTTTAGGAAATAATCTAACAAAGAGCTAGAATAGAAGTGTGACTTACTTGAATGTGATTTATTGTGATGTTCTTAGATGGGAACTTATTTGCATTAAATTACATACGTGTATACTTATTTTTTAAAGTTCCTCACTGTACCAAACAACATTTTAGGAAAGAAGCTAACAAATAGCTATGAAAGAAGTTTGATCAGCTGGAAATATTATTTATTATGGAATTCTTAGATTAGATGGGGATTTATCCACATTTAATGATTCATATGTACATATACACACATTTTGTCATGTTTCACATTTCGCTGAGCACTGTTTTAGGAAATATATTAGCTAAGAGTTATGAAAATGAATTCAGTACTGGGAAAAATTGAAAAAAGAAGTTTCTTTGTATTATTCAAATTTGATAAACCTATTGAACAATTTATTTGGGACTAAAGAGAAATAAGAATAATTATTGAGTGAAAGAAGAAAAAAAAAGATAAGTAAATGTGATCCAGGAGAAGGTTAAATTACTATGTAAAGACGTAGAGATAGCTATGTATAAATAAATTTCCTCCTTTTGGACAAGGAGTCAGGAGGCTGACTTTCTAAACATATTTGTCTTTGTTTCATACGCAGTCCTTGAAATCTAAATCTAACTGTTCTTGTAAAGAGAACTGGACCACCCACTTGAAACCAGGCTGATCTAAAAGCACTGTCTTCAAATCATCACATGCCATTTGAAGGTTTTGTTTGAAAATGAGTATAAAGCTTGAGAAGGGGGAAGGGCTAGGATATTACTCATATCTTAAAAAGAGTAAACCACATACTACAAAGCATGTGCTTTCAGTTTCTAAACAATTTTATGGAGCATTGTTCATTTAAAATAAACCTATTGAATTATGATTTTGTGTGTGGGGAGGAGTGATATATATGACAGTCATCCAGGATGTCTAGGAACGAACACATTGTGACCTTTACTCTGGGATGAAATACCCATATTGATTAAATCAGAGATGTTTTGGAATATTGGAGTGAAAGTTCAAATATGAAATACTGATTTCTAAAGGGAAAATATTTTTCCACCTATACGTTATTCTTATTATATGTAATCTTCCTCTTTGGCTATCCATCTATCTATCAATCCATCTATCCATCAATCCCTCTATCTTCAGTATAAAGCTGGGTCAGCTCACCTTTAAATTACAGTCACACCCTCTTCTGATAATGCTATCTTGATATAAAGTACAATGTTTGGCACCTGAGGATAGCTGTACAGAAAAAGGAGAGGAAGGATGTTATATTCAGGGCTTGAGTGAGGTTGATGCCCAGCAAAATTCATTTGTTACTAGTCAAACTTTCACTCTTTTCCCCCGCATGTATTCAAAAGTTCAGTGACAGTAAGAAGTGTATTAACCCATTCTAAAGATTATTTGAAAAAGAAAAATGTGAGTAATTCCCTTCTGTCTTCCACAAGTGGCTAAGAAACCAAGAAATACCATGTTGGTTTGTACTCTACAGTTTCTCTGTTTTTAACATTTACTCTGTATTGCTTTGAAAATCTACTTTTGTCACAGTTCATAGCTGCAATGTATGAGCAGCCAAGAGAAGTTAAAATCATTGCTTATTGGAGTCATATACCCTCCACTAAGCCGACCTTAATATAGTTGTTTATTTCCAGTTTATTTATGATCTTGATAACTCTTTCGGCAACAATCCCTACAATTGCGACAACGTCTTCCTCAGATTTGTGGGCCACCATCCCCAGTAGTCTGACTTCAAAAGTTTGAGCTGAGAAACTCTTCGAGTGTGCATCAGGTTCTTGCAAGCAGGGAATGAGGAAGCCTGAATGCCAATTTTAGCTGGCAACGCTAATGAAACAGCATTCATAAAAATGTGTGACATTCCACTGGGGAGGCAGCAAGGATAGAGCTCAGGATTGCTGCTAGGAAGAGGGTCCCCAGCTGCATAATGTGCCCTAAGAAGGGAATTACAAAACAGTGTTCCAGAAAATGTTTTTTGTTTGTTTGTTTTTTGCTACTCCAGTATTGATTGGCAACATGGTGAATAGTCTGAAGAGTCAGGAAATCTTCCATTGGTTTTGTTGGCTAATGGAGGTGAATCCAATGTAACTAGGATCAACCTCCCATGGAGATTTCTGGAAGAGGATTTCAGAACCAAATTGGTAAGTTGAAGAGAAGTCTTGTAGAGCCCTAAGTCATATAGTTAGCATTCACTACAGAGTATTCACTCTCCAGTTGTATATCACGCTTGGGACACACACTTCGGAGGATTTTGTATTTACTCAACTGAAGTTACTGCTTTTCAAGATCTTCACAGGAAAAAAAGAGAGAGAAAAAGAGAGAGAGAGAGAGAGAGAGAGAGAGAGAGAGAGAGAGAGAGAGAGAGAGAGATAG